CGAGAAATTCCTGTGGATGCGGAGAAATTCTGGTCTTAAGACAGAAATTCCTGTTGGACAAGAGACAGATTCTCGTAAGAGGGGAGAAGTTCCCGTGGACAGCCAGAAATTCTCGTGGACTGTGAGTTTCGTCGTTTGACTATTAGAGAAATTCCTGTGGATGGTGAGAAATTCTGCTCGGAAGAGAGAAATTCTGGTGGGAAGATTGAACAAGAGAGAAATTCTCGTACGAGGAGAGAAGTTCCCGTGGAAAGGGGGAAATTCTCGTGGACTGTGAGTTTCGTCTTCTGATTATTAGAGAAATTCCTGTGGATGGGGGGAAATTCTGGTCGGAAGAGAGAAATTCCTGTTGCACAACAGAGAAATTCTCGTTCGAGGAGAGAAGTTCCCGTGGAAATTGATAAATTCTCGTGTTCTGAGTATCAGCGAAATTCCTGTGGATGAGGCGAAATTCTGGTCGGAAGAGAGAAATTCCTGTTTGACAAGAGTGAAATTCTCGTACGATGAGACAAGTTCCCGTGGACAGCCAGAAATTCTCGTGGGCTGTGAGTTTCGTCTCCTGATTAATAGAGAAATCCCTGTGGACGGGGAGAAATTCTGGTCGGAAGGGAGAAATTCCTGTTGGACAAGAGAGAAATTCTCGTAAGAGGAGAGAAGTTCCCGTGGAAAGACAGAAATTCTCGTGAACTGTGGGTTTCGTGTTCTGATTATTAGAGAAATTCCTGTGGACGGAGAGAAATTCAGGTCGCAAGAGAGAAATTCCTGTTGGACAAGAGAGAAATTGTCGTACGATGAGAGAAGTTCCCGTGGAAAGAGGGAAATTCTCGTGGACCGTGAGCTTCGTCTTTCGTTTGTTAAAGAAATTCCTGTGGATGGGGAGAAGTCCGGGTCGGAAGAGAGAAGTTGCTGTTGGACAAGAGAGAAATTCTCGTACCAGGAGAGGAGTTCCTGTTGGAGAAGAGAGAAATTCTCGTACGAGGAGAGAAGTTCCCGTGTAAAGAGAGAACGTCTCTACGAGTCATGGCCGTTTGGACGTTAGAGAAGTTCCAGTTAAAGTGAAGAAATTCTCATGGGATTAGAGAACTTCCGGGCTTGCGAGAACCCGGTCATCCTTCAAAAAACTAGGGTTTACTGGAAATCCTGCTTTTTGAGGTTTTAGTGAGTTTTTCCAAGAGACAAAAATGAAGTGCATGGTATTCATTTCTACACAAAAGAAAATGTTGCCACCATGCTCAGCGTAATCGATTACCTATAGTCCATGGCATTTTGAGATTCCCAGAGATGTCTACTCGGAGATAGACACGTGCTCATGGAAAGCGAGGTCTGTCCGAATGAAGATAGCTGGAGAGCCGGGACTTGCATACTTTTGTAGAGTAACGTCCGAACTATCAACGCATGCAAAAAACTACTAACATTGTATGTTATTTTTCTGAGAACAGAGCTGGTTTGATACTATACGACAATAGATTATCACAGTTAAGTCGTGCACTTTTGTTTGTTAAGATGATACTTATTTAGTGATGATGTTTCTATTTAATTTATATGTTTTATACATCCAACTTTCTTAGTTCTACGTTAGTAAAAATAGTAACATAATCTCCTAGATCAATTGTTTTGAAGGGTTTTAGTTCTCTTATAACATAAACTTAAAATTCTTTTAATTAATGAAATTAGTATTAAATGGCGCTTAGTCAAAAACAAACGTTATTTTTTCAATATACGTATCTTATTGGTATGTATGTGAGCCAATTGCAATTTTGTTGTACCGTTTGAATCCAAAATGTGAGTAAAAAATATCTCCGGGTCCGATCGACCGATGTTCATTATTTTATTATTATTTTGTTTCCCTAATTTGTCCCGACTACCATGGGAAAAAGGATGACTTTATATCAATGGGATCCTGAGATATTGGGTGCACAAGGTCCAAAAAGCCGATTTTTAGCGCTACCTGTCGTTAAGAAATGCTTCTTATCTAATTTATTCTTCATCATTGACACCCAGCGATTCCATCAAGTTATAGTAAACAGTCTGGGTTTTCAGAATATGTGACTAATTAGCACCGTGATCCCACTTATCTCGGTCATTTTTTATAAAAAATCCGTTTACAATCAACACGCGATTTTCTGTCATGCGAGATTAAAAACGGTGTCGAGATTGAACAGCTAATCTGAAAATGTCTTGGCGAGAAATATTCCCAACAAAATGTCGAACTACTCATATGGCAGATTCTTAGAATAATTCAGCATTATGATGCATTATTTGTAAATTCATGCGTTTTAATGCTTTATTATCAAATTTCATGTGTTATAATGCATGAATTTTTGTGTAAAATAATGCGCCAATAATCCATTAGAACGAATGAAAAACTACGAATTTTAATGCATTATTCACAAATAATGCACCATAATGCCGAGAAAAAGTCGAATAATGCAACATATAACTATATTTTTACGCTTTGTCTCTTTTATTAATAAACCAGAACTGGTTTGTATTCAAACGTCTCTTTATCGCTGAAACTCCAAGTTTTTCAGCTACAAGCCGAACCAGATCCGTCAGTAAAAGGTGTGATTCACACCATTGCATCTGTCTCGTCGAGATCTATCGGATGGTGTATCAAACTTGTACTTTTGTGTCATACCAAAAGCTTTTTCCACACATAACCTCGGGGATTTCGAAAAACTCTCCTATCTCAGCCATCTTGATAGTGACAATCGGGAATTTTATTTCCTGTGCTCCTCTCACATAATTCATATAGTACAATGAAATGTATGATTCAATTTCTTTACAGTCAAAAATTTTGTCCTAACGGTACAATAAAATTGCAATTGGCTCATGTGTGTTTGAAAATATGTAAACATGAATGGTTTACACAAAAATTGAGTCTTTTAGAGATAATATATCCAAGGTTTAATCATGCCTAATACATATGTGATTAATAGTATTTAAACAAGTGTTTATTATCAAAGTCGAGGTTGAATGAGCAGATAAGTGTTAACAGTGACAGAATATTTATTGAAAGCCATACAAATAAAAAAAACTGTCAAGATCGAAAGTGTAGCAATTAGATAAACCACAACTTGTGAATACAATTTGATCCATAAACCTTTTTTTCGACCTGTACTCGAACATAGGCTATATTTCGGTGCTGAGACTTGTGGACTTGCAGTCACTGTTCATAAGCCTTACCTAAGCCCCTCTCCCCCATAATAGAAGACCACCCGGTCTTCTATTTTATGCCGCAAGTCGAGTTCTAAAGAGTGGTCTTCTATTGCGGTCAAATTTTGTCACCTGTTAGTAGTCCAACGGTATCCCCAACGTACTTGAAGTCTATCCCCTATTAGAGGTACTTTTTGGCGAAATTTTTTTAAAGTTTTCCTATAGGTAGATATAGGGCATTTTTCGATCTTTTTAGCGGACATAATAGAAGACCAGTGGTCTTTTAGAAGTTAGAAGACTATGGTCTTCTATTTGGCTTTCAAGTCATATAATCGGCACTGGTCTTTTATTATAGGGGGAAGGGGGGGGGAGTAATGTCTACAAACATCTTGCGCTTTATTTTAGTTTTCAGAAAACTAAAATTCGAGTTCGTAAGGAGGCTCACCCTAGCGAAAAAAACGTTTTTTATTTCACATCCGATTTCGATGGCGCTTACAGGAATTAATGCTTATTGTGCACATAATTTATGCTAAAAGGTTGAGCTCGAAACGTTGAAGCGTTGCCGTGTTATTGCGTGACAACGGGCAAAATGGAGCTCTTAGCAAAAACGTGTTTTGAATTTCGATTCCGTTCATTCTCTATGTGTGTTTTAAATCAGAGCTCTGAAAATAAGCCTGATTCGGTGGCGTATTTACCACATATCTCTGCAAAGAAAACGAAATTCAAAAATCACTAAGGACAAAACTTAGATAAATGTCTTAACTTCAAGATAAAACAAGAGCGAAGGTTCAACGATGACTCGTCTATGAGGTGATAAAAGTTTGCTCTCTAAAACCATGTTCTGAGAAAAACGCTAAACAAGATTGAAGAGCATAGTGACATCAGGTCTAAGGTTTAATATAGGGGTGTGATACATATATATGAAGCAAAAAGAAAGTTCTTTCTATTCAGATATAACGGATGAATTACGTGTTTTTTTCACTAGCAAAAATTAAAATTTTAATTTCTACTTGGAGATTTTTATATTTCACTGAATTTTAATTACTTCTGCAACAAATATGTACAAGTCGTTTTTGGATTTTAACATGGTTTGCAGATTATTTCCATAGTTTTCTATTAAAATTTTAATTTCGATTTTAGTCGACACACATTCTACGCCAGTTATCAATAAAATCTACTTTAAATATTCAGCATCATTCCAGATGTGAGCGGTGTCGCAGAGAGAAGTGTGAGCCATCAAAAAATCTTGACACTTGAACGGTTTGCTTTTTAGAATCGGTGCCACTCGTATAGACATCATCAAAATGAATACAGACACTGTATCGGATAAAAGGCGATTATCCCAGAATCTCAAGCTTTTACAATCATATATGTATATATATATGAATAACGGATACAGACTCTGTATCCAGCATATATGTGGGAATAAGGCTAAAGACTCTCTATCGAAGGTACAGATGTGTTTGTGTGGATTTGTACTGGGTAGATATACACATTGTTCCGGTACAGTCAGTATCCGTACATAATTTTATTATTGGAGACTAATGTAAATTTTCGTACAATTTCGATACAACATCCTGCATCGCTTCAGAACAGCAAAATATCTGCGTTCCTCGTTTCATCGCTTAGTGGAGTATACAAAACATCTTCATTTAGGCAATCATGCGTATAATAGCTTTTATGAAATAAAAAAAAATGAGAAGAAAATAGATTGTGTTCTGATTCTGGAAGAAAGTACGCGAGCTTAAATACTGTGACTATGCTCAGATATTCATTTATTCTAATCCTTTTTCGCGATTTGTACACGATCTTTATTTTTATTTTGACGACAGAATATATTTGTAATGAATATTTACGGCTTTATTATACTTGTACATGTAATGACGACTGATGTCAACCATGTTACAGCAGCCACAATCAGCAATGCTGCTGGAATTAAAATATTGACCAACTATTTAAATAATTTTAAACATGCGGTAGCTGCGTTAGATAAAAATGTATATCCTGGTATAACAATGAGTTATCTCATTGAAACAGATAAGAATTCAACTTACATAATTGGCTTGGATTCAAATAGCGTAAATCCACCTGGCAGAATAGCTTACCTTGCTGATGTTGAAACTGCAGTAGATCAAGACAAAGTATACCAGGGCAAAACTACTCTTGCTAATGGAGTTACTCGATTTACCATTGCCGTTCCAATTGTACAACAAAACAAAAGACGAGCAATCTTTTCGTCATCATTACAAGTGCCGGCCAACGTGAATGTACTGCAAGCCACAATGTTGGCATGCGGCAAAACAATGCGCTTTGTTTATAGATTTTACACACTATTAAAGAACACCACTGGGAATAGTCTCACTTTTTATGTCTACTCGTCCGAAACAGGGGCATATGTACGTGCACTGACAACCATACCGGATACAAAAGGAACTTTAGCTGTAGGAACAACATTAACAAACTTAAATGTATTGAATGTCATAAACAAAAACAAAACATTTACAGGAACAGTGAAACTATATGGTCGATCATATCAAGCTATGTATAAGCCAACGAAATATTACGGTCAAAGGATCGTGGTTGCTAGTTTACAGAAAATTTAAATGAAATTTGTATCAATGGACAAAGTATTGCTTTTGTGATATTAGACGTCCTTCCATATATGTGTAGACATTATACATTTCTTATACTCTTGAGATTTTTCTGTTTATGGTTATTTTTGCCTAAGTAAATGGCAGTCTACATCAAATCTTTTATTAACTTTTTGTTAATAATTTTAATTTCATATTCAATTACTTTTACATGGATTTTTCTTTTGTGTTTTGAAGAACGCTCATCAGCCGAAACGTTTACTTTATCATAAAAATAAATAATTTTTTTATTATAATTGTTTACTTAATATAAGCATAAAATTCAAACTTTTATTTCCTTGTCTGTAAGCAGTAGCAAGGAACTTCAATTATAAACTATGTATAGAATGAATCATTTTGAATTGAATAGGCCTCATATGGAAATCCAAAATCTCGAGTTTTTTCAATTCTATTATTATCTGTATTTTGACATAAAACACTGATTAAATAGGAAAATAAGATGATCATTTTGCTAGATAGATAAAGTACCCATTGGTGAAAATTAAGATACCAGTAGTCGACGTAATTTACTCTGGCTCGACATCTTTAAGTGCCTTTTCAATACAACATAAAGTATCTAAATTTAATGATGCCAACCATTCATCATCTACGTCGTCATCGTCAATAGTGGACATTTTATCTAAAATAACAATATTTCGTACAAGTAGCGCGGGTCGACCTTCTACTCAATCAAGAGTTAAATACACAGGAAAATAAGAACCTAGAGAACACATAAGCTACAGATAAATGTCATCTGAAATTGTCCATGTATTCTGTGATTCTAAATGAGAAGACAATTTCTGCAAAAAATTAAGCGAACAACGGTATAGTAGCGATGCATTATAACAGCAGGATCTATTAAATACAATCGTGCGATAAAGTAACAATTAATAGAAGAAACCTATAATAAAGATGAAATAAGTAAGAAAATGGAATGAAATTCCTGAATTATATTTAACAAAACGATAAGGATATTGTGCTTTCCACTGTCTATGTTTTAGTTATAAGTGCGAATCGGAGACTAAATCTGTTTTATGCTAACCGTCTGCATCTTCATTTAAAATAAGAGATTTTTGTGGCTACGCTATAAAATATTTACAAAGTGGCCAACAAACGTTCGACAACCGTAAAGCGTAATAAAGCGACACTTGTATCATTACAAATAATCACGTTATGCATCTACTCAGATTGGCTGTTGATGATTTTCGTAATCACCTGAAGATCAATTGTTTTGAAGCGGTTTAGTTCTTCTACAATTTGAATTGATTGAAGAAGTTCGCGGTGTATGCTTTATCATGAGTAGAAATCAAATAGAAAATTATGTAACTATTTTTACTAATGTAGAACTAAGAAAGTACTAAATACAAAATGCATCCGTAACATGTTCTATAAATTATATTCCGATTTCATATTTGGACATAACGCTAGAGTCTAATAGATCTAGGTTTTCCAGTTCTGCATCAAAAGATCGATAAATATTATCAAGGCACAATTAAAATCACAAATCAATCAGTCGTTTTAAAAAAGGCAGTGTGCAGAGCTAGGTCTTTCTGCATTTTGAGAGACCAAAGCTCAGACCCAAGAACGTTTCACACGCGGTTTTAGCCGACTTTGAGCGTTCTTGTTCTTCTTAGCTTAAAACAAGCGAAGGAAACCATCCTGATAGGCGGCTCTAGCCAAAAATAGCTGGCATGACTATTCAACTTTATCTGCGGTTGTCTCGAAAAGGGAGCGATACAATCCCTACCTTTCTATAATAGCCGCCTTAACAAGAGTTTTTTTGCAGTCTAAAACCGACCAGAACTGCGGATACGTTTTAAAAGGGCGTGGATGAATCACTCCCTTTCTAAAATAACCGCCGATCTCAGCGGATATTTTTTTATCCAGCCTCTGTGAACCGCAGTTTTATACAAAAAGTAATCGCTTTCATCTGCGGGTAAATCAAAAAGGGGGCGATTCTTGCTAATTTAGCACACACGTAGATCTATGCGGTTTTCAGTAAAATATAACTGCTTTGAACCGCTGCATTTTTGGCTAGAGCCGCCTATCAGGATGGTTTTCTTCGCTTGTTTTAAGCTAAGAAGGACAAGAACGCTCAAAGTCGGCTAAAACCGCGTGTGAAACCGCGTGTGAAACCGCGTGTGAAACCGCGTGTGAAACCGCGTGTGAAACGTTCTTGGGTCTGAGCTTTGGTCTCTCAAAATACAGAAAGACCTAGCTCTGCACACTGCCAAAAAATCAAAGCAAGATAAAGAGGCTCGAGCATTAACTTGATTGATAGGAAAATAATTTAATGTTAGATTATATCATATACACAAAAATTAATTCACTTAGATTACCATATAACGCTGTTACCAGAGCTTCTGTCGTTTTATGGTAACCAGCATATCATATAAAATACTGTTTAGCATTTTGTATTTAGTGAAGAATTTTTATAACCGAAAAATTGGTATCATCTATTGAATAATGATCGTTTATGATTGTAACTGAAAAGATTTCAATGTGATATACATAGAACGGTAGAATAAGAATATAAAAAAATTCATCTATCGTCACCAATCGAAGTTGGTAAAGTAGAAAATAATGATGATCATAATCCTTTATTTTCAAAAATTGAATGTGACTGCTAGTAGAAGGATTTATATCGATTATATACAGACTAATGGATACCAAAGTTATATTTCTCCAGCGAAAATTTTATTGACATTAAAGCTGTATCGAATAATTTACTTCCACCTCGATTTGTTGTTCCTTTTGCTCGTTTTAAGCAGTAATTAGGATGAGTATTGTGATGGAAATGAATTGTATTGCATATGGTACCAAATAATGTATTATTATAGTAATAGGATTGTATAATGACCAATAGTAATTAATAACGCAGAGAGTACCACACTCACATTTTGGATCATCAGTAACTAGGTAAAATAATAATTCATGAATGTGTATATCAACTCATAGGAAAATTATAACTAATAATGATATGAACGATATTTTTGGATAAATGAACAGACCTGGCCGAAAAAGTATGATTGTATTGTTGATCAATAATTAAGTCGTGTTTACGCCAATAGTAAGACATTATTTTACACTCGAATAATTTGATGAATCATTCATTCAAATTTCATTTAAGTACAATACAATATGAATAATTTTGATAAATAAAATCAAAAGTGAGAATTGATTTATAAGAATGATAATAAATAAATAATTCCCAACAATATATTCTCCTGGTTTGGATCGTTTCAATTACTAAGTATAAAATAGTAGGATTGGTATAAGCAGGTACATGATGATTGATATTTTTTCTCACTGGCTGAATCTATGCAAATCAATCCACTATAAAAATGTGTAGTCCATTATTATAGTGACATAGTTGAATTTTTAACAAATGAAGTGTATAAGAAAGATGTACAAGTTGAATCAACAAATAGAGTCTGACGTTGAGGATCGATGAGCAGTGTGCTTGACTCTTCAAACATCCTAGTTGGACCCGAGATAATCTTTTGATTTTATCTTATTCTTGAACATACCGTCCACTTAATAAACATCGTTGCCATATATGTGGTGTTGAATCATAACGAAAACATTTTGAAAAATAAACCTCATTGACAAATACAAAAATAATTATCATGATGAAAACAAGTTGAGTTGTTGTATTCAGTGTGGTTTTGGTATAACTAATGATATCTGAACACTGGATGCTACAGTTTAACAAAAATATGTTTTTAACAGTATGCTTATTAGATGAGAAAACAGTAGCCACTGATTTCTGTTATTTCAAAGATTGAAACTGATATAAGTGTTCTTTATAATAAATCGCAATAAACGAAGAAATGAGCACAATCTAAAATATACAAACTCGCTCATAACTCAGTCAAGAGCACTTCTTCACTTCTTTAAATAATCAATCGCTCCTTGTACCGCTCATACGTTTTACCATTTGATGTGGAATCTTTGTCATCTAAATAAAGTGTGTTACTATTGTTCATCCGAAAATATCATGACTTGTAACGAGTACTTTTAGAATAACTTTAATAAAAGAGAAAAATTTGTGGTTGTTAGGAATCGAAAGAGAACATGTTACTGCATATTTTGTAAGCAAAATTGATTTTTGAAAAAGTTTTGAAACTTGATTTTTCAGACGATCTGTGGGAAAACCAATTTATAACTAGAAGGCTTTGCATAATAATCTAGTGATTCTTTTTCATAGAGAGATAGTTTAAAGTGCCCTCTACAAAATGAGATCTAAGCAAATGTTTCCTTTTGCACGACTGCGCAGATACGCACGTTTTTACCGAACGACGAAGACTTCTCTATTCTTCGGTCTAGGATATTCAGAAATGAATACATAGGTTATCCGACAAGCTGACGCTCGTGGCTATGGTAGTTTTCAGAACAAAAGCCCAAAACCGAGTGAAAATCTACACTAGATGGAATAACGCTCTTTTGGTTATCTTCATCGAAAACTAGATAATTCACAGCTGAGTCAAAAATTTATGCAAACTACTTGAGCATGTCATTCCTTTGAATTTTAGAGCTCAAACTGGAACTTCTCAGATGTGCTCTTCGTATATTTTTGTTCTTTCATTTCTTACATTGGTCTGTTTTGCCCAGGCATATAATTTAGCTTTTTTGTACTTTAGAAATTTGATGTTAGTATTTGTGGATACATTTTTACCATGGTTACTAAGAAATTGTTTAAAATAATTACGAGACAGAATATTAGAAGCGGATGAATGAGTGTATTGAAACTAATTGACCTGTTACAAGATTAACGTGATGTTATTAGAAATGATGAGAGAAATAAATTTTTTTCTGAACGACAAGGTTTTTTATTTTCTAAAATTGTTTCTGTTTAGACATTACTTTTGTTACAAATTTTAATGCGTTCCAGTTCGAATATACAAAAGATTGTTGCATATGAAAATGATTTTGAATGTTTATATGAGATTTTAGTCATAGAAAGTGGAATT